CTTGTGTGTCCCAGGCAAGCGCCTCCGCTACACCACGGACGTGTCCGGGGCCGGGTGCGGGTGCAACGCTGCGCTGTCCCTGGCCCCCATGCGGCAGAATGCCGAGGCCACCTCTTCCTTCCTCTGGCGCGGCACGAACCGAAGAAGACAGAATTGGACAGGCCTCAGTACGGTAGGTTCGCATCGGGTCGACCGGCGGCGACCCCGCCGTCGGCGTTCATCCTTGAACGCTGCGGTCGATGCTGAACGATCTGACGTTTCGGAAGCGGTTGATCACTCAAGGTTGAGCGATCCTCGCAGCGTCGGGAACCAATGCCGGGGTCGACACGACACGAATCTACCGTATTCGGAAAGCCGCGCAGAATTTTTGGGTCGGCGCTGGATCCTTTCGGGGGTGCCTCTACTGGCGCGCTCCGAGCGCCAGGGAGGGGAGTCTAGCGCCGACCCCTGGATGCGCGCGAACCTCCGAAGGTGCAGGTTCAATTTCGCAGGTCGAATTCTCACTTCTTTGACGAATGAGTATTCTTGATCCCCACAGCTGGTGCGCCTTGCATTTTTTGCTCAGTGTGTTGTCCAGTTGCGCTGCCTCGCGATTCCCCCACCGCGCTCGATGAGGAGCCGATGGGCTCCAGCTATTGCTGCGCAAGAGGCGACAGGGCCCGACATGCAAATTGTGTGGTTGGACCCACGGGCTACAGCAGCAGCTCCGGATCGCCCGATGCCTTGCCTGAAAGCCGGCTTGCCCCGCCTGTTGGGGCCCACCCGACCGACCCACCCGACAATGTCCGCCCGACCGACCCGCCCGTGAGGGTCCGCCTGCCCCACCCAGTCAATTGAGGCACCCAGCAGGGGTTTACCCACGAGTTGGGATGAAAAGAAGCTTTCCAACAGGGGTGCGTTCATAAACAAAGAGGGTGGGAGTCGTGGGTTGTGGGCATACAAGTCGCAGAACGCTAGCAACACAGAATAAGCATGCTCGTCATGATTGCCGGCATTACCAGTAGCATTGGGAGCGGTATTATGTTTCGTCTTGCTATTCCGTTTCTGGTAAACAAACATAGAGACGCACACGAACACACACACACACACACACACACGCACGCACACACACACGCACACACACAAACACACACACACACGCACACACACACACACACGCACACACACAAACACACACACACACACACGCGCACGCGCACGCGCACGCGCACGCGCACGCACACGCGCATTTGAAGATTACACTTGTGAAGGTTGAGCTCGATACTGGTTGAACGTGATGTCGTCGAACTGCCAGCTTCTTTCCCCTCCCTCCCCCCCACGACCTTGCGAGAATAACTGATACAAGAAGAAATGTGGCGTTTCGGCAGCGTGAGTCTCCCATACTGCGGCGTCCTCGTCAGGGCCCGCTTCTGCAGCAGGGCGGGCAAATTCACGCTGCAGCGGGCCGACGCCTTCCCATATTCAATCCCACCCCCTTCCAGGCAGCAACAAACGAGACTCCCGTTAGGCACAAGGGCCTCACGACGCAAGACCGCCTGGCTTCAACATGAGATCTCCCTGCCTTGTTGAGCACCAGCGCGGGTTATCCCCCCGCTCCTCTTCTCCATGACACTGTCTACCCCTACACCTACTCCCATCCCATGCCTGTCAGCAACGCCCAACACCCCGAAGATGATGGTGCTGTCCTACGCATCTTTTCCAAAGCGTTATTGCCATAGAGAATGCGTGCATGCATGCATGCATCTGTTCGTGGTTGTCGATGAAGAACCCGTCCTGTTTAAAACCAGAAAGATTGTCGCCGGAGATCTCGACGCCGAGCTTTTCTACTATACTCTTCCACTCCTTTCTTCTTTGTTTCTTTTTCGCCCTACTCCTAATCCCCGAGACGCCCCCCCCTTTGTGGCGAATTCGCTTCGCTGTTGTCGATGATGATGGTGTCCTCTCTACTTATATTATACCTTCTCGCTGAAGATATCGACGTCGGGCCTATCCAGTATGTTATTTGCTTCGCCGTAATCCTTATTCCCGAGACGCCCCCCTGTCCGTAGCGAATTCGTGCATGCATGCATCTTTTCTTCTTGGTTGTCGATGATGGAGCCGCCCGATCTCATTCTCCTAAACCTTCACGCCGGAGATCTCGCCGTCGAGCTTCTTTATTGCATTTTTCTAACAATCTTATGTTTCGCCCTGATCTTAATTCCCGAGACGCCCCCGTGTCCACAGCGAATTCGTGCACGCACGCACGTGTTCTTCGTGGTTGTCGACGGTAGCCCAGCGACCCGATGTCAGCTCCCCCCCGACACCCCTACAACTACGTACCCCCATATGCATGCCGCGTCTAACCACACGACGATGATGAAGTCGCCCTTAGTCCCAACAGTAATTTGGAAGGTTCGGCCACAAAGCGGTTCTTTGACAGTCGCGGGGTTGGCGACAGATTGCCCCTGACCCCCGCAAACGGGGACCAACACACATTTGAAGATTACAGTTGTGAAGGCTGAGCTCGATTCTGGTGGAACGGGATGTCGTCGAACTCCTGGCTTCTTCCCGCTCCCTCCCCCCCAAACATCTTGCGAGAATAACTGATACAAAAATCGTTTGGCGTTTCGGCAGCGTGAGCCCCCATACTGCTGCGTCCTCGTCAGGGCCCGCTTCTGCAGCAGGGCGGGCAAACTCACGCCGGAGCGGGCCGACGCCTTCCATATTCAATCCCACCCCCCTCCAGGCGGCCACAAGCGAGACTTTCCTTATGCACAGGGCCCCCCTAGGCACACACACACACACACACACGCACAGACACACACACACACAACACACACACACACGCACATACACAATACAAATCATGCCGAGGCCACCCCTAACGGCGACCACTACTGCGACGCGGGTGCCTCCTCTGGCGCCGCCTGCGCCGAGATCGACCTGCAGGAAGCCAACAGGCACTCGGCGGCGTGCACAAGGGGCTGGCTCGAGGGGGGTGGCCTTCTAGAATCTCGATGATCCTCAGGACGTGTGTCACAGTCCACGCGCCTAGTCAGGACGCGCGCCTTGTGTTCTTGCCTCTGCGGCCAGTCCTTTGCCGTTTTCACTGGCAGCCCGCCGCCCAACAAGTCCCAATCTTTAGGGGAATGAAGAATTACAAAACATAACAACACGCAGGTCCGCGCGGATTTCTCGCATCCACGCTGGACCCCCTGGGCGCGCCTCCGGCGCGCGGAGCCAGGGAGAGGGGTCCAGCGCCGATCCGAGAAATCCGCGCGGACTTCCGTTTTTTGGTGTGTATGTGATTTTTCGTTGCCCCACGTAAATCCCAAGTTTGGCCTCCAAGGGTCTTGCGGCACCGTCCTACACGTCTTGACTGTAACCCCGTCCGCCTCCGCCGCTCGCGTCGGCCATCTCTGCGCCGCCCGCGTCGGTATCGAAGGGCCTCGGGCGGCCTCGATGGAGGAGGAGGAGGAGGAGGAGGAGGAGGAGATGCATTTTTTTCAAAATGCTGCTCTCGCTGAGGCGCCGGCCTCATTTTCGGGCCCCGCTCGTTCCGAATCGTGCTCCCGCTGCAGCGCTGGCTTCATTTCCGTGCTTCCGCTCGTTCCGAAGCGTGCTCCCGCTGCAGCGCTGGCCTCATTTCCGCGCTTCCACTCGTTTCGACTCGTCGTGCTCCCGCTGCAGCGCTGGCGTCATTTCCCGTGCCATGCCACGGCATGCAATGCAATGCTAGGTTGATACTACGCTTTGCGGTGCTCTTCTACGCCATGCCATGCCGTGCTCTACAATGCATCGCGTACCCTTTCGGGATCATTGCCCTGCTCGACATCCGACTGTGCGAGTAGAGAGGGGATCTACGCCATGATAAGGGATGGGAGGGAGGGGTAGGATGTCAGATATGACGCGAGCGCACCTAGCTTGTCCTCCACCTCCTCCTCCTCCTCCTCCTTCCCGCTCCTCCAGGTCTCCAAGATTAGGCCTTCTGGTGGAGCCTCCTCGCCCTTCCAGGAAGGCTCCCTTCCTCTTCCGACGCCCCCTGACCTCTCGGATTGCCCGCCCCTCGCGCGCCCGGGGGGTGGCTGGGGGGGCGGCCCGTCTGCCCATCCCACGCCGACGCCGACGACGACGACGACGACGACGACGACGACGACGCCGCCGACGACGACGCCGACGACGACGACGCCGACGACGACGACGCCGACGACGACGACGACGCTGACGACGACGACGAAGACGACGACGACGACGTCGCCAACGAAGACGACGACGGGGCGCGAAGACCCCCTCAGGCCATGAAGAAATCACGACGGGAGGTTGCTCGCGATTGTCGGCCTCCGAGGGCCCTTCCCAGGCCTGGGAATCGTCAACGAAACGACCCAGGACGAAAAACCGGTCCCATGGTCCGGACCCTCTAGGGGTCGCGTCATGAAAAATTCATGACGTCGGGGGTTTGGGTCCCTGAAGACGGGAGGGGGTGGGCACGAGTGGGCGTCATAGACGGCTCAAAATCAAGCGAGGCATCAGATCCTCGTCATTGACCGCTCTCATTGGCATTCATTGCATGCGCATTAGCATGCTCTCCCCGACGTCGTGATTGTTTCGTAACGGCAGCCCCAGGAAGTGTCGACCCATTCCCTAGAACTGGTTTTTGATCGCGGGTCGTGTTTGACAGACCCGAGGCCCAGCGAGGGCGCTTGGTGGCCGAAAAACACAGAAAAAGTTCCGTCGCGATTCTATGACGGCCCGAGGGGTTCTGGGGCCACCGCTTTGCAGGGCTGAACCGAAACTGTGTGTTTGGCCATCTCGCAGGCCGTTTTGTTTCTCTTGTTGTTTTGCATTCAAGGCGAAGCGAAGGCAAAACGAGGAAGAGCGACAAACAAATGAAAACGAACAAACCCGTTTAGGTTCAGCCTTGCCGCCTGATGGGCGCCGCCAAGGTACGCTTGGCATTCCACGCTCCACGCGGTGGCCGACAGGGAGGGCGTCGGTGCGGGCTACGGCGGAGGCGGCGCTGAATGGAGCGGGCCCCGGGACCTCGGGCGACGAGACCTCTACATCTATACCGCCCTCAGGCCAGGCTCGTCCTGGCTCCGGGATCAGTGTATACGCTCTCCTAGGGAGGCATGTTGACCCAGACATGCTCGCGTCGTAAAAGAATCAGGACGGGAGTTTTTGTCGCCGGTTCCGGCCTCTAGTGGCCCTCGCTGGGATTTTTTTCGTCAGCAGGGAGGCGGCGAACTCCCTTCCAGCGAGAAGCTAGATAGGGGCACAAACCAGCGAATTGGCCAGCGAGCAAAGAGGGGGGGGACGGCCGAGAGGAAGAAGGGACGCGCAGACGTCGAAGAGTTCGGCGATGACCAGCCGAGGGGGCAGCAGCAGACAGGCGCGCAGACCCTCGCTGGGACACGGGACCGTGAAAAAACGATTCGGGATGAAATGCGATGACGATGACGATCGTCATCGTCATCGCCATCCCAGGGCAGGGTCGGGACTTCCGGGGGCCGCGCCTTGAGAACATCAGGGCGGCGCAGGCCTGGGCACTGCTCCTGCCCAGGTCGGGCTGCCCAGGTCGGGCCTGGCCCGAGGGCGGTGCCCATGTGCAGGTGGCGTCCCCTCAGGACTGGGCGGCGCGGGATTACGCTCCTGGCTCCTTGTGCATCAACACCTCGGCGCCCTTCCAGGTGCCTGGCCTGCTCCGGAAGCCCTCCGCTCCAAAGTGTTGACGTCTCACTTCTGCCTCCTTTCGCTGGCGGACCCGCCGCCGTTTGACCTCCGCTGGCCTTCCGCCGCCTCTCGCCGAGGGCGACGATTGGTGAAGCGTAAGACTCGAGTACGCCGGACCCCGGGTTTTTGGGTCTCGTCAGTCTCATGATGGTCCCGTCGGGCCAGCCCGAGTCCCCCGAACCCAAGTCTGAAGTCTCCCCGAGATGAGACTCTCCGAACACGATTTTCTCAATACGGCCCCCCCCCCCCGAAGTACAGACCATTTTCCTCAGGGCCAATCTAGTCATCCCGAGCCATGTTTTGACGGCCCTGTTGGCCCCGCCAGGACCCCCGCAGGCCGAAAGCGGCAGACAGTTTTTTAGTCGCTTCGCATAACCCCACCAGCCCATCCAGAAACGATGCCCTGACGAGTTGCCCTGATCATGGATGTGGAGGAGCATGCGGTGGAATAAAGGGCCTCCCGTCAAAACCGCGAGGGGGAGGATGGAGGAGGAATCGGAGTAGGGGGAGGGAGAGAAGGGAAGAGGGAGGAGGGAAGTGGGAGGCAGAGGATCAGACGGAGGAGGAGAAGAAGGAGGAGGAGGAGGAGGGCGAGCAGAATGGCCAGAGGCCTCTTGGACGCCTCTTAGAGTCTCTTCGGATGTCTCTTGAGAGCTTCTTTGAGTCCTCTTAGGGCGTACCGGGATCTTCTTGGCGGTCGCGGGGGCCTTCTGGAGCGTTTTCGGTGGTTCCTTTGGGGTCTCTTGGGAGCCTCTTGGAGATCTTTTCGGGGGCCTCTTGAGGCCTGGGCGCCTCTTGGAGCCACCACCTGTGAGGTGTTCGACTTAGAATCATCATTCAGTTGGGCCTTTCGCCGAGGCCATCGTGGACGTTCCAACGCCTCGCGACCCCCCCGTCCAGATCCAGGGGGAGAGGGTAAGGGGAAGAACGGGGTTTGGAAGACGAAACGTCAATCTAAACCATTCACGCCCTCGAGGGTTGGTGGGATTCCCACAGTACGTCTCTTCTCGACTCGAGGAGGTCACATAGGGAGGCAGGGCCCAGATTCGCTATTGATTCCGGCTGGCCTGATCCGATCCCGATATCCCGACATCCCGACGATCCGATGCGGCCTGAGGTTGGCATAGCCTTGTTGTGCATCTTGGCGCGGCCGACCTGCCTGCTCCGACGCTAATGCGCAGACGATGCGATGCCCCGACGCGGCGCTGGCTGCCTCAGGGAGGGCGAGGCGCGCCGGAGGCGATGGCGCCCCTCCTGGAGCGCCCCAGGCGGACGGGTGCTTCTCGGATCGCGCGTGTCGCGCACCCCCCCCCCCGCCCCCCACTCCGACAGCGACCCCGACCATGTCCCAGAGGGCGATCCCGACAGTGGTCAAGCCGTGGCGAGACGTCCTGGCCTGCCTTGGGCCCACCAGAGGCCATTTTCAGAGCCTTGTGCGAGATGTGCTCAGGGCACTTCTGGGTGAGACCGTCTTCGTTTGATATATGTGTATATATATATATATCGGCATCATTGTCATAGAACATCGTTTCTGTTCTTGACACATTATTTTGTCCTGAAGAGGTTTTCGTGGTAGGCCAACAGGGATGCTGGGACGGTCGGTCCCTGTTCGAAATGACCCGTCCCCCCAAACGCCTACAGCGAGGACGCCGAGGACGCCGACGAAGACGCCGCACGCCGAGGACGCTGTACGGCCCCGCCACCACCCGCAGATCCCCGGGGCGGAGTCGATGCCGTGCGAGCTTTCGCCCGGGCCAAGCCGCGTCGTGCGGTGCACGGGCCCCCCCGGCG